TTTTTTTTTTTGACAGGCAGAGTTAGAGACAGAGAGAAAGGTCTTCCTTTTTCTGTTGGTTCACCCACTGAATGGCCGCTACAGCCGGCGCTGTGCCGATCCGAAGCCAGAAGCCAGGTGCTTCCTCCTGGTCTCCCATGCGGGTGCAGGGCCCAAGCACTTGGGCCATCCTCCACTGCCTTCGTGGGCCACAGCAGAGAGCTGGCCTGGAAGAGGAGCAACTGGGACAGAATCTGGCACCCCCACCGGGACTAGAACCCGGGGTGCCTAGAACCCGGGGTGCCTAGAACCCAGGGTGCTGGCACAGCAGGCGGAGGATTAGCCAAGTGAGCCACGGCACCAGCCTGGGCCATCTTCTACTGCTTTCCCATGCCACAGCAGAGAGCTGGATTGGAAGAGGAGCAGCCGGGACTAGAACCGGCTCCCAGATGGGATGCCGGCGCCATAGGTCGAGGATTGACGTAGTGTGCCACGGTGCTGGCCCCTCCAACATGTTTAAATTCCATTTTTTCTAGCAGCTTTTGAAAGTACCCTCATATTTCTAGAAGATTCCATTTTTTCCCCTCTCTGGAATTGGAGCCCGTTCTGCATTGGTGTGGCTCCTGCAGGGCAGGCAAGCGACCTGGTGGTCCCCCATCTTCACAGGCCATCCCCTAGAGCAAAGTGGCCCCGGCATCCACTGTCTTGTGGACACCCCACTGATCTAGAAGGTTCTTCAGTCACACCGGGTGGGCCGCCTGGGAGCTGGCCCAGAGCCCCTGACCCTGACCCGAATGAGCAAATGCAGTCTGGAGCTGTTTGTAAGGCAGGCTGGGTCCCCGGATGTCAGCGGAAATGTGCCTCCTGTGCAGTGAGGTGTGGGGGTGGTGGGCCACAAGTCTTTCTCCAACTTTGAAGTGTGCCCACGTGTGTCTTGAGTCTCCAGGGAAAAGGTCAGGGCCCAGGCCACCTCCCCGACCTCTGACCTTTACTTGTAAAGCGGCCCCAGGGACACGCAGAGGACATCCGTGTGCGTGCCCGGTGCCAGGGCGTTGGCACACCCGCTAGTCCTGCAGCTGTGGTACCAGCAGGCCCTTCCCCCCGGGGCAAAGAGGAGCATGGGGCAAACAGGTGTCTGTGCCTGGAAGGCTGTGGGCGGCCCGCAGCCTGCTCAGGGGGCTCCGAGCTGCAGAGGGGGTGCGGCCTGGAGAATCCGAAGGGGTAGATGGAGTTCCCTGACATTCTCTCGCCCTCACATGTCCTTTAAGGTTTAGATTTTAACCCTGTTACAGTGGCTCTGCAGGGAGCTGCAACCCTGCCTCCCACCACGGGAAGTGGTTGCCCGCTCGCCCCGCCTCTGTCCCCGGCGTCCCCTGCGGTTTGTGGTGGTCACCTCCCAGACTAATGCAAGGCTGCAGCCTAAACAGCTTGGCTCCTCCTCCTCTGAGCTTTCTGTCTTTCTGGCTCCTCCTTGGCCAGGGTGGAGGGGCAGCACCAGGGGATTGTGTTCCCACAGAGAGGGTGGTGCCAGGCCACTCATGGAAAGCGGGATGGGGACAGGACCCCCACCGTCACCTCCGCCTTCCTGCAGAACACCCCCTCCCACACAGCTAACCCTTTTCTCCAAGTCGCTGTTGTTCTGGGACAAGGGAGAAGCGTCAGCCGTTAGCCAGGCCTCGCCAGCCACCAAGCCAGAGAGGATGGGCTGGGACCCTGCTCCTGGCCAGACTGCAGCCCTTTGGTGAGGTGTGGCAGGCCGGAGGCTTCTGCGACAGGGGAGGAGAGAACATCCGAGGCAGAGGTCTGGAAGGGAGCCGCCCGGGTGCAGGCCGCAGCCTCTTGGGTCTCCGCTGACTCATGGTTCGGTCGGTGTCGGCAGGAGAGCAGGGCGGTGTTTCAGGCAGTAGGTCAGCCCACCCGCTGCCAGCCTGTCTGTGGGAGGCCCCAGAGTCGTCGTGGGACCCACGGAGCTTGGAAACCTGACAGTTTACGAGGCTTCATCATGTCCATGTTTGCATTCCATCCTCAGGATCAGCCTGAGGGCTGTTCACAGAGGGCAGAGTGCACTGCGGGGGACTGGCTGGCTGGAGCCACGTGGCCAGCAAGTGGCTGCGGGGTCTGGGCCCTTCGCCGCGTCCCTGGCCTGCTGTGGTGTTGTTTGCAGCCCCAGTGCCGCTCCAGCTGGGATGCGGAACCCCAGGTGGGCCTGGCTGAACCTGGGAGCCAGGGACACAGTCCGCGTCTCCCATGTCGATGGCAGGGGCTCAGCTGCTTGAGCCTCTCGGGGTGCGTGTTAGCAGGAGCTGGAATAGGAAGTGGAGTAGCTGGGACTCGAGCCCGGCAGTCCAGTATGAGATCCAGGCACCTCGCGTGGCAGCTCAGCAGCTGCCCCAGTGCCTGACCCTTCATTTTAAAAAATTGCAGCTGCTGGTACTACGCAAACTCTTCCAAAAATTCACAAAAATGCATATTATGTGTGGATTTGGAAAAAAAGTTTGGCACCAGCATTTCATTTTAATCACTTTTTTTTTTTTGCATAAACTTTTTCAAGTATTCTCAGAGCTCTGCCATTCTAGGATGGACAGTGTGAATGTTCTGATCTATGCATGAGCTCGGGTCATCTTTCTGTGGGAAAGGGTTTTTTAAAAAATGACCATTAGAGGCAGACACGGTGGAGCCAGACCGGGCTCAGACTCGGGCTGTGCCGCTACTCGGGCCAAGTACTTCACCGATCTGAGCCAAGTGTCCTCACCTGTGAAGGGAGGTGAGGGTGGTTCCTGCCCCTCCCATGAGCGGGTTGAGAGAGTTGTAGTGGAGAGGGTTTGGCCCAGGGCCCGGTGCTGCTGTCACTTTTGCCGTGTGTCGGAGTCTCTCCACGTGCCAGGTAAGCTGTTTGCAGGGTCACACCCCTTCAGATGCTCACGAACCCCACAAGGGCCAGGCTAGCCATCTGAGGCTCAGAGAGGTGAGGGTGCCCACCCAAGGTCACACAGCCAGTAAGAGGCAGAGGCAGGATTTGAACCTGTGGCCCTCTGACTCCGGCTCCTGCCCATTGGCCAGGTCACCTGACCTGCCTGTGTGAGTCGGTTCCCATGCATGGAGCGTGCCCACCTTTAGGCTCCCACCTGGGTACAGGAGGCCCTGGGGAGTGCACCCAAGCCCTGATGGCCTTGGGGGAGGCTTGGCCTGCAGACTCCCG